CAGAGTCGGTCAGCCATTGTTGGGCGTGTAAAGGAAAGGAAAGCCGCGAGTGCCTCCAAGAAAAGTCGCAGAAAATACAAGAAGCTTGAGGAAGAGAAGGCAATTGCCACAGCTGCAGCTGAAGCCCTGCCAGATGCGACCTCTGACTTGTCTACAGAAAAGGGTTCGGCTGTAGACGAAGCAGCGAGTTCCGAAGCTGTTCAATCCCCCGATACCCCAAGCAAGCTGACCTGATAAGACTTCAAAAAGGACATTTCATGACTTAATTACGGCTTCAATTATGTAAACCACGTTGACATACGTAGCAAAGGAGCGAAAGGCACATGTCATCACCTCGTTTGATTTCAACAATTCTAAGCGGAAAGTAAAAAAGTATTTGTATGTCAACCTCGGCTTCTACCCCTAGGCACGCATTATACGCGAACTACAAGAAAAGGGGCCATCACATCTCTTCGTAATAAGCGCAACGCCCACTCTTTCGACCATGTCAAAAACTTTTCGTAAATACGAGATTCGACTTCGACGCTGGCCAACCACCCAAGGCTTAGCGTCTGTCGCCACCTCCATGATCTTGTCGTTGCGCGAGTGGGAGGATTTAATTTGTCGATCGGAAAGCTATAAAGGGTCAGTAAGCTTGTCTGGGTGTTGATGGATAAGTTGAACACACCTTAGAAGCACTTGCGGTGAACGATTGAGGGACCGCTCTCGTCGTACTCCTGCTTGGAGATCCACATTTGCTGGAAGGTGGACAGGGAAGCGAGAATGGAACCACCGATCCAGACGGAGTACTTTCGCTCGGGAGGAGCAATGATCTTGACCTTCATGGAAGACGGAGCAAGAGCAGTGATCTCCTTCTGCATACGGTCGGAGAGACCGGGGTACATAGTGGTACCACCAGACTAAAAACATGTTAGAACAATTCAGATCTTTTCGAGTTGCGGAACTTACCATGACAATGTTTCCGTAGAGATCCTTTCGGACATCGACATCACACTTCATGATGGAGTTGAAAGTGGTGACGTGGATACCACCGCTCTCAAGACCAAGGACAGAAGGCTGGAAGAGAGCCTCAGGAGCACGGAATCGCTCGTTACCGATGGTGATGACCTGACCATCAGGAAGCTCGTAAGACTTCTCCAAGCTGGAGCTCTGGGCAGCAGTCTGGATCTCCTGCTCGAAGTCAAGGGCGACGTAGCAGAGCTTCTCCTTAATGTCACGGACGATTTCTCGCTCGGCGGTGGTGGAGAAGGTGTAACCGCGCTCAGCAAGAATCTTCATGAGGTAGTCGGTAAGATCACGACCAGCCATGTCGACACGGGCAATGGCGTGGGGAAGGGCGAAACCCTCGTAAATGGGAACAACGTGAGTGACACCATCACCAGAGTCCAGAACGATACCGGTGGTACGACCGGAAGCGTACAGGGACAGAACGGCCTGGATAGAGACGTAGAAAGCGGGGGCGTTGAAGGTCTCGAAGACAATCTGGGTCATCTTCTCACGGTTGGACTTGGGGTTGATAGGAGCCTCGGTGAGCAGGACGGGGTGCTCCTCGGGGGCAACACGCAGCTCGTTGTAGAAGGTGTGGTGCCAAATCTTCTCCATGTCGTCCCAGTTGGTAACAACACCGTGCTCGATGGGGTATCGCAGTGTGAGAATACCACGCTTGGACTGAGCCTCATCACCAACGTACGAGTCCTTCTGACCCATACCGATCATGATACTGGGATTTGGTTAGTGGTCAGCCACCGAGAATGGCAACAAAATTGCCGCGATTGCAATAACTTACCCATGGTGACGGGGGCGACCGACAATGGAAGCTATTCACAGCATCAGCATTTTGATCCTGGTTGTGCTTGCGCCCAAACGTTGCGATATCAACGCTAGGACAGCAGGTGCTAGAAAGTGGGGTACTCACGGAAAACAGCTCGGGGAGCATCATCACCGGCGAAACCGGCCTTGCACATACCCGAACTAGCATTGAGTTAGCTATCATAGACATGATGAGATTGTCTTGCGCCTGCTGAGCCAATTCTATTGAGCACCGGAGTCGTGGCCCGTGTCGGGCATCGGACGATGCGGTGGCAGATCTGGCCAAGCAGGGGGCAGAGAGGCGGGGAGGTTGTCCAGAGGTCGGTGAGACAGGCGGGGGGAGCTTACCCATTGTCGATGACGAGAGCAGCAACTTCTTCTGTAAAGCAAAGATATGTCAGCGTGAATCCCTAGATGATATTCGCGATGCTCGAAACGGATTGATTGACCAGATCCGACGATGCAGCGACGCGGTATGATGCGACGTACCCTCCATGGCTGTGGATTACGGTGTGTGTATGGGAAAGCTGTCCAGAAACGGGATTAGCGGCCAAGATTCGAGGAAAGAAAAAGAAAGGACGAAGTGGTATAAAGAGAAATGTGGTGAGATGCTGGAATTAGTTGGGGAGCAAGCTTACGGGAAAAGAAGAGACGTTGATGGAGAAGGAGACGGAGGTCGGGAGATAGAAGAGTTGAAGAGAAGTGGTTTAGAATGGGAGAGGGAAAGAGACGGAGACGGGAGAATGGGGGAGGGGGAAAGGAGACAAGTATCGCCGGGCGACGCTGTCACAAGAAAGTTGTGGGCGGGCCCCGAATTGCTGAGGTGGACACTTTGGGGACAAGGGGGGTAGAGACCGCCTGCCAGAACTGGGTAGGGGAAACTGAACAGACGAGGCACAGTCTAGAGCAGGAGCAGCTCTCTTGGTACTGGAAAGAGGCGGGGCGACCAAAAAAACAGGTCTTTCCAAGCTGCTCGCCGCTTTACTGATTGGTTCGTGGCGGCCGTAGTGCAGAGTACACTGCCCTGAAGAAAAGAATGGACTTGTCCCAGTGGCCGCAGCGGTGGCAGCCAGGCAGCTCGTGGAATGATAATCGTTGCGGAGTATGGACGGTAGCGGTGGCTAAGGTGGGGAGCTTACCTAGAACTGGACAGTAGAAGTGACTAGAGGTTCGTGATGGCCAATTCCTTAGTACTAGTCTAGGACTTGGGATTCAATTGCTTGTGATACAGAGCTGATAGAGCTTCTCAGGTAGCAGTGATTCTTTTTAACAGTTTCCAGTAGACGGCTTTGAAACACATTACCGACTGAGTATAACGGGCCGCTTCACCGTCTCGACTTTATCCTTCCTGCACAATGTGACGTCGTAAGCAGAACCTCATGTCCACCGCCACGCGAGCAGACGACGACGTCAGCTAGGGAACTTTTTGAAGCTGCAGCCTTTGAGGCTACCTTTTATTTGGCTTGGCAGCGTATTGCAACATCTGAATAATTTACTGATGACCTATTTACAGATTCATTCTCTAATATTCTCTGGTGACAACGACGGAAATGTTGCAACAGCATACCAGCCAAGCATTTAGATGTGTGTATCAACGCAGCCACCATCTTAGGACAAAGTCAACGTTCCAAGTCAGCCTCGGCCACGAAAAGCTTGAGAAGAAACTCAGTATCACTCTTCAAATTCCTACTGTTATAACAACAACTATCTGCCCCAAACGTCGGGAAACAACATCACTTCACCGTCCAAAATCCAAGCCCTTGAAGTCAGTAACAGAAAAGGGGCTGGTATCTCTAAGTCAAATCTCCAGATGCTCCGCATATTGGGACCGGTTACCAGCTTCCAGTTTCCGAGTTCCACTCCATAATTAGCACAAGCGGCTAATTAACCAAGCGCTCCTCCATGGCAAAGTTACGCGGAGGCAGCTGTTTGCGAGCGAGTATCTCGCTGACTGACGAACCACGTCGAATATGCGCGGATCTTATTTTATCTGAGCTACTCACCCAGCCATTCCGACTGGCCAAGCTAACATCACGATCAAATGGTATGCCTGGATAAGAACTATTGTAGAATAGCCTCACATTGCACAGCTATCTATCGTCTCGCCTCCTACTCTGTGTAGAGTCATCTTTAGTGAAGCAATAAGGCGGTGTTGAGCTTTGCTTCCCCTGGTAATACAAGGTTCTCTGCTCCATTGGAACCCATGTTTTTCAGACAGCCTGGGCGAGATCCTTTTCTCCTAATAGCCAACAGCTTCAACACCGCTCTCTGATCACCCCCTGAACCACGAGGCTGTCAATTGTTTCCTAGACACAACAGATCTCCCAACTCTTAATTAGACCCCTGTTTCTCGCCCCCTGCCTAACCCAGCTGGGGAAACCCACTGATGGGAGCTGTCGGCCAGTAAGCCAGGCCCTGAGATGAGATTGAATGCCTTCGCTTACCTACCGCCTTCCTATGAACAGCGGGATCTCCGGCCACTCTCAGATACGAAATATGTCCACTACTGTCCACTAGGCAGGCTCTCTATCGATATTGGACACTGGACTTTGCCATTATGGTAGCCTTGCACCAGGCTACTATATAGGTATCTACTAGTGACATTCAGTGTAAGCGTAATTCACGCGCGTCACCCCAGCCAGCCACAGTTGATCTAGGCAGCCATTATTTTGCTCGAGATTTTATTTTTATGCCCTTCTTTTTTTTTTGGTCTCGCATTTGAAGCTCACTTTCTGTGACAAAAGCAGCGATGAGGGGCAACTTTGCAAGGTGGGGCAATTTTGCTGAGCTGGAGGGGAGCTATGATGAAATGTTTCTCTGCCACGTCGGACCGCTATCAGTTGAATTGCGGTGTCTACCCATAACATTAATCCGCTGCAACTCTGCCGGTCGACTCAATAGTGTGTACAAGTCATCATAAGGCAGTCATTGGGCTGCAATTTGTTGATATTGAGCTGTGGTAGAGCATCGATCGGGATGGATGATTCCTACGAGTAGATATGCGCTAGTCCATTTATAGATTAAAGCGGGCCTTCTTGAAGATTCCAGAATGGGCAAATTCTCATCGATGTGGTTGGTAAGTTGAAAATCAATTGCAAATACTCAACATCAAGACTTTCATTCTCTTCATATTCACAACAAGTGCATCCTAATTTTCTCGATATCAAGCAAATCTAAAAACTACCGACAACATGGCCGATCCCAGACTTAACGAGCTTCTCAAATGGAGCATCGAGCAATCTGAGGCCACCAAAAATGACCCCAATGCCCCTCCAGCCAAGACACAACTCACCCCAGAGCTTATGGCAGCGCTCATGGGCGGCCCCTCCGACGCGGACCTCATGAAAGCCTCAATGGAGATCATCACTTCGGACAATGCTGAGGAGGTATCGCTCGACGACAAGCTTGTCGCCTTCGATAATTTTGAGCAGCTCATTGAGAACCTCGACAATGCCAACAATATTGCAAATCTCAGCCTGTGGACCCCACTGCTCGAGCAACTTAAGCATGACGAGCGTGAGATGCGCAAGATGGCCGCCTGGTGTGTCGGCACTGCTGTGCAGAACAACGAGAAAACACAAGAACGTCTACTTGCCGTGGGAGGAGTGCCTATGCTGGTAGACCTGGCTACCAAGGAAGATGAGCCTGTCGATGTCCGCCGCAAAGCTGTGTATGCTCTCAGCTCGGCGGTGCGCAACTACCAGCCCGCCATGGATCTCTTTGCCGATGAGTTGACTAAGAAGGGTCACAAGACCGACAAGGTCGATGCTACAAGCATGGAGGCTGTAGATGAAGTCGTCAACGGTCTGCGAGAGAAGATCGGCAAGGCTTAAAAGTTGGAAGCAAAGGATCAACACATCACGAATGGTTTCATTGGGACGGAGTTGGGCGTTGGTCAGGAAAAATATTGTGTCGATGCAGGTTGATAGACCAAAAGGAATATCCAACGGCTGGATGAAGTGGGCACTTAAGCCCTAGATTTTTGAATGTTCATTTATGATACATATCTTGTACATGATTTATACTACATATCAACCACTTAAGGCTGACAGTCGCCTGCCTCTCAACACCTCACAATGATCCATTTATTGTGTTTTAATGCCGGGCCTTACCAAAGAAGGGAAGACCTAGGGCCTCCAAAAGAAGGCGACCTTGTCTATCGGAGGTGCCAGTTGTCTTAATAAAGATATCACAACCAGGCATCAGCCGTGCAGGGTACATCTAATCGTAATTAGCTCGCTGATCCTTCACAATCGCACGTAAACTTACATCGTAGTTGAATTCGATCTCGGGAAAGTATGCCATCCAGGCAGGCTGCAGACCGAAAGCCAAGTTGCCTGCGCTATCACCAGTGGTAGCCTCAATACCAGGCCAGTCCTTGATCTTGGGCAGCACCAGAGTGATCAGTTTGTCCAGAAACTCGTAGGCTTGAGCACCCTTCAGTGTCACCTTACAGCCGGTCTTGTCACCCTTCTTAACACTCCACTGAACGACACCGTTCTTGACCTTTGTCACCTCGGGGAAAGCACCGGAGATAGCCTGGATAACAGCACGACACACGTGCAAGTACTCCTTATTCTGGGAGCTTAGAGGAGCGAATGAGTTGATGGTAATAGCCTCGATTTCGGGAACATTGTGCCACTCGATAGGGCGTTCGACCAATCCAAGTCTCGAAGAGCCTCCTCCACGAGGTCCACGGCGAGGTCTGTTCTTATGATAAGGTGAGGAGCCGTCCCATTCTCTCAAGTTACCCTTGTTGGAAACGGGTAGTTCTGTGCCCGGTGGGATGTGCTGGTAGGTCATAGTGATCAAGTCCGGAGCAACTGTGGTCTCGTATGTATGCCTTAATCGAGGGAAGTTGAAGGGACCGGGGACGAAGTCTCGGGCAGTCGGGTCGGAGGACTTGGGAACCTGGACGGGATGGAGGGGTCCACGGTAATACTTGGGAGGATGGTACTGATATCTAAAAGAAGCTATTTAGCACATGTTCGGTCATATAGAGCGATTGGGCCACGAACCTGTTACCAGGAAGCTTATTGGCTGTTCCCTTGGCTTTTTCTCTGGCATTGAAAGCCTCGATAGCCGCCTGATCGGGAGTACCTGTCGCAAAAGAGGAGGCATTGTCGAGATCTGCCAGATCGGAGGAGGACTTCTCGGCCCCAGTCGAGGCATATCTTCGTGCACAAATGGGGGCAGCCCGTAGAGGGATTTGCCTTCGTCCCAGTGAGCTCGCTATGCGAGCTCCTTCTCGTACCGTGGCCATTATTCGGGTCGTGGGTTATTGGAATTGCTCGTCGACAAAAAGATGAGGTTGTCGCGTGGATTTGGAAATTTCCATCTAAGCGGCTAGCGCCAGACGACGCCACATGTGGCTAGTGGTGGCGATCGTGGCTGTGGGCATCTTGTAACGGATCTCCAACGACGAGGGTAGAAGTTGTCTAATTCATCAAACGTTGCACACAACTAGACTAGGGTATATCTACTCTATATCCTTTGTTCTTTATCGTAGTTTCGTTAGACGATCAATCGTTGTGTGGTCCAGTTCCTTTACAAGATAGAGGTACTTTTGCAACCTATCAACATCTGGATCCGAACACCAAGTTATTGAAAGTTATCATATACCTACCCACCTAGGTAGGTATGTAGGCAGTCAATACGTTTCCAAAGATGCGTAAGAAATGAGACCATTGAATATGTTCCCCTCTTCCGGTGTTAATCGCTCAAGTTTGCTGTCCGCCTGGCGCTTCCTTTTCAAGGTTGACTTGCCACATCATGTGGCTTTCATAATACGACAGTTGCGTCTTGATCATCTCATCGTCTTCGAAGCACTCCGATCGCCCCTCTATTACCCAGATCTAGAAGCCATAGGCAATTCAATGCAAGGACTGAAACCCAATCCCGAACTGACAAAGGACCAATGGTATTATGCCTAAAGGAGACGAAGACTTATGATAACTTTCAGTATTGGAAGTATCGGATACCCGTAATCCTTTGTTATCAATTTTCTAGTTGTCTCAGTCGGCTTCGGGCTTTGCTGTTGTCCGACGCACTTCGATCGCCCATCTCACTCCGAAACCAATTTAAATCAAAACCACCTTCTAATTATGGAGCTGTCTGTTCCCAGACGCTTGGGCGCGGGACGTCCGTGGGCCCCGTGACCCGATTTATCTACTGCAAGGACCGATAAGTCCAGATGGATGGTCATTCATGGCAGCAACTGGGATGGTCACCGATAGTGTTTCCTGTTCCCAACCGACCAGGTTTCCTCGAATGCGGGCCGTAGACTTGAACCTTACCGTGCGTTCTTCAGACAGAGAGGTTTACCAAGTGACTAATGCGCCACCGAACGGGCGGTTTATTGGTAAAATGAGAGCACATACGTCAGAGTCAAAGATTTACAATCAATAATTAGATCTGGTCGCTTTGTAATATCATCAGCTCTGGATAAACTGGTTAGCAGGTTTCTGTAGGCAGGCCAGTAGGACACAGGCGTCAGGAACACAATGGTGTGGCTGGTGATATGCAACACGACACTAGGCTTCGATTTTCAAGAGGACTTTGGTCCCTGACAGGCACCAGAATTATTGTGCATACGTGTTCGAGGACGAAGTAGAGATCCATTCTTCGATCGATTCATCTCAGGCTTCAATCGATTCCATAGTTAATAACCTGACTTACTCACACGCCTACGTTGTCCGCTTCTCTACCAAGGTCACCAGTTCTGTTGTAACCCATGGTGCGGATCTCACCCCAAAGGTTACACATCCAGGCGGCAATAATAGAACAGACCTGACAACATGCGGTAAGATGATGATGATGACAGTGTAGAACAAAGCAAAGCCACAAAACAGCGTACAGTATTGCCCTTTTGGGGGGCTCAAGTAGAGTTATGATTGAGTTGAGCTGAGGCAGAATCGAGTGGGTAAGGTTATCTCGAAGTAGGTTTTCTAAGAGCCTACTCATGTACAACGATGATGTGGCCGACATCACGCAGAGCGGAGCGGAGGATAGCTGATGCAAAACCATGAGTAACACATCACGCATCCATATCATAACAGAACAAAATAAATGATGCGCAATACCTAGTAGCGGAACAGGCTTCCATAAAATCGCAAATCACTTGACATCGGCTGTCCCTGTTAGTCTTATTTCCACGTTGGCTTTAGCTTGTCCTGCAAGGCGGCCGTTCTGTGCTTGTCACTTCCCGAATTCACGCGCAAACTGGTTAGGATCGGCTCCAAGGATTATCTTTGATGGGCATGGAATAAGAAAGAAAAAAGGATCCAATTCAACCGTCAAATTGGCCACACTAGCTTAGTACTGAGCTAGAACATCCATTTAGATAGGTAGCCCGAGATTCGGTCGAAGTTCTTGTGATGGTGCCATCGGCCATGATTACATACGAACTACACCCCGATTCCATCAACAGGAACAAGGGACCAAAAAGAACAAAGGAAAAAGGTTAGAGTGACAACAGGGCAGGGGTCCAACTGTTACAGTACCACATTAACCTTACTTCATCCAACCTTAGTACCTTTGGTAGGCTGAGGTTCAGGTCGGGTCCATGCTGTGTCCACCCCCGCCACCTGTCTATCTTTCTATTTTAGTGCACTATCTCTCAGGTCACTCCCCTCAACAACCGCTCCCGTGGGCTGTTTGGCCACTGAGATTTGACCTCCGAAGCCCATCATTTCCATATTATAGGCAGGGCAAGTCTCGACCTTTTTTTTTTTCAAGTACAGCTTCCCCTCCAACTTTGTTTTGTTTTCCGGCTCCTACTTTCAACCTGCCTTAAACTTCGATAACAACTATTTGTTCCGTGTCGTCTTATCCCATCGGCTTCACAGCGTTTCCAGCTCTTCTTATCAGCACCGACGAAACCCATATTACTCTCCCGTCTTGCGCGCGTCGCACTCGAGCCACTTCCTGGCACATCTCAAACAACCTACACCAGCAGCGGATGCGCCCCCGATAATGCAGGCTTGTGGCTTATTGCTACCTCGTTAAACCGGACGAGTCATTCTTTTCCCCTTCGAACTATACATTCCCTTCTCTACAACGAAATCGAATCATCATGAAGGAGTTTCCGAGAAAGTTCCTCAGCTTGCGCGACAAGAATGGCTCCAGCCGTCGATCTAAGTCGGCTGCGCCAGCGTCACCCCTTCCAGCGATTTCAGACAAGAACAAGGTATGCTCGCTCTCATCAGGACTTGGTAGCTGCTGGATGGATTGTCTGCTCTTTCCTTTTTAAATATCCAAATTCTGTACCGGCCGAAAAACAGGTGTCCTGACAAGTAGCTATGTAGCCTCGTCCACTTTCTACTGGGGCCTTTATGGCGATGTTCAAGAGCGATAGTGCCAAGCAGGGAGCAAAAGCAGACGCAGACAAAGAGAAGGAAACCGCACGAGTACGAATCGAACCACGAATTAAACGATCGAGACATTAACCTTTGCTGGCACTAGGTCGAGGAGATCCTACGACGATTAGACGAACTGAATATTACCGACGTGACTGCCGACCACGTTACCGATATCATGGCAACCAAATTCGCAGACTACGACACCGGCAAGACTGTCGAGTTCATTGATATGGAACAAAAAGCGGCGGCTGGAATAATCACCCCTTATGATCCCAGCGTGGATATGGTGGGAGCCGAAAACCGAGGCAATGTTACTTGCTATTTAGATGCACTTTTGTTCTCCATGTTTGCCAAGATCGACGCTTTCGAGTGTATGCTCAAGAACGACTTTCCAGAAGAAGACAACCGCAACAAACTCGTCAATCTTTTGCGAATGTGGGTAAACATGCTTAGAACAGGGAAACTGGTGCACACAGATATGGTGGGTAACATCTGCGCATGCTATGATATGCGTGGAACTAACAAAACAAATAGACCAAACTAATACAAGATGCGCTGGCCGATTGTGGCTGGTCAGATGCCCGGATGCTGGAACAGCAAGACACCTCTGAAGCTTTTGCTTTTATCACAGAAACTTTACAGCTACCATTGCTATCCCTACAAGTCGACCTTTTCCACCAAGGAAAGAAGGACAAAGACGACCACAAAGTTGTGTATGAGCGCCTCTTAAACCTGGCCATACCCCCTGATCCCGAAGAAAAGGGACTCAAACTGGAAGATTGCCTCGAAGAGTACTTTAACGCTCAGGTGGATGTCAAACGGGATAGCGAGGATGGAAAGAAGCTTGGAGTGGAAGAAAAAAGTCGAAGCAACACACCAACGCTGAAGCACAGGGACACGATTCGAATCATTACTGAAGAACGCGGCGAGTCATCTACACCAACATCACCAATGCCGATTACACCAGTGGAAAGAACGCCAACGTTGGAAAAGGCACCTGTCCTTTCGCTCGCAGATCCTGATGTCAAAAATGGCAATGTTCCTGATGATGAAGCAGAAGGCGAAGTTACTGCTGTTGAGTTAGTGCCGAACAAACCCTCGTTGCGAGGAAGGTCAACAAGTGTTATTCAACGTGTGGTTTTGGATGAGGACGGCCGCCCTTCTACCCCTGACACGCCGACAATGCTCCAGAAGGCTATGCGTAAGGGTTCAACAGTCGTTAAGGCAGTCACCATTCCTGCCTGGCAATTTTTCAGACTTATCCGTGAGTTAAAATCCCCTGCCGTGATACTGGGACATGTGCTGACAAAACCTCAAGCTTGGCATGCACTCTCAAGCACAGAGCCTCGAAACAATACAGAGGTTGCGTTGAATTTTGAACAACGTCCTGTTGTGGGCATCTGTCTCAAACGCTACGCCATGACTGAGTCTGGTCAGCCCAAGCGTCACAACACATTTATCGATATTCCTGATAGTCTGCGGCTACCACATTTCATGCTTGCTGATGAGCCGAAAGCCGAGGAAGATATGAACGTTCTCAACACGGACTATAAGCTCGTCCTCCAGTCTGTTATCTGCCATCGAGGAGACTCTTTACAAAGCGGTCATTATGTTTCATTTGCCCGAGTGGCTCCTAAGCTTTTGAAAGACAACCGGCGGCATGATTTTGACCCACCTCCTGATTACGAGGAAGCACAATGGGTCAAATTCGATGATCTTCAGATAGAGAGCCGGGTCACTTATGTGGATGACATCAGAACTGCCCTTAAGGAGGAGATGCCATATCTTCTGTTTTATCAAGTCATGCCAATGGTCGAAGTCGCTCCCCCATCGGTTGATGATGCGGAGACAGAACCTCCCTCATACAATGATTCGAAAGTCAGTATCGAGTTGCCGCCCACCCCTTCGCGAAGCCAGCGACTCGGCAGTCTCGAAGAGGGCTATTTCGACAACACTCCCACGCTCGAGAACTACCGTCGCCTGTCCAGTAAACCACCCAGCATTCGGCTTTCCATGGACGGCGAGAGGCCAAGAAGGAGCGAGGATGGCGCAGGACGTCTTCCAGGATCACTTACCAACTCGCGACGCCCTAGTGCTGTCTGGACTGAATCGGCACCACATACGCCCAACCCTCACTCCCCAGCTATAACACCCAGCGAGGAGTCAACTGCATCGAGGCTATCACGTGCAGCATCTCGTTTCACACTGGTTAATAGGAGTCGGCCAAGCAGCCAGAGCGGGGAGAATCGCCTGAGCTTCTCTATGAGCAGGCTAGGAGGACTAATGCGACCCAGTAAAGACCTTTCGGCAGAGTCCAAGGACGAGCCTAACGGTATCGGCATGTCTTCACCAAATTCAACAGGCGTCCTGACGGCAGAAACATCTAAGGAGTCAAGAGATTCAAAGGAGATTTCAGACAGAACAGAGGTTCCGGCCGAAGCTGAGCCCGAGCCTGAGCAACGTCATCACCGACATCATACCCACAAGCATGGCCATAAACGAGTCAAATCGAAGGACAAGGTGAAGAACAAGGGCGACCAACCAGAACGAGAATGCACCGTGATGTAACAGCTGCGTTGTCAAATCATAGCGATAAACACGTTACCAACCGGGGGAAAAAGAAATATTACGATATTGTGCTACTCAGAATCACGACTAGTTTGATGTTTGGACACCTCTATGTACAAGAGCTTTCGCTTGTAGAGAAGAGCTAGCAAGGGCTTGGCCATGTGGGTAGCCGCTGAAGAAAGCGTGCTCTTGCTTGTCACAATGAAGTTGGACAGCAAGCTATAAGGAGACGGCATTGTGGTTTTGATACCCAGAAAGGGCTGGATTGCATATGCCTTTCAGGTCCTCGTGAAGTTTTAAAAGCAAAAAAGCAGCAGAATATTTGTTATTAGCATGGCGTTTTAGGACGGGCAAAACAACGTAAAACGGTTGTTGTATAGCTATCTTACACTAAGAACTTTCCTAAACATGATACACGCAAAGACAATATGCAAGGGACAGACATGATACAGGACACTTGAAGCTAGCAATGTCATTCAGTTACAGTGACCTCTTGTCATTACGGAGTGAGATGACCTTTTTCTTCCCCTCTTCATTGTATGCGTTACAGAAAATTCGTACACATGACCAGGACAAATCAAGCCCACAACAATAATATACACAGACCAAGTCTCCTCCCCAAGAAATGGACATCGGGGCATCATAGGGGGTGGGAAGGACGACTAATAAGACATCAAAAATGACAAAAGGGTTTGGGGGGTAAGGCTTGGTCCTGGCCCGGTCAACAGCGGGCGATCATTAAGGCATTCAGTCCCATTGGAGACAGAATGCCGGGTCATCGGAGATGTTGTGGGGAGTATGCTGAGCTCATGGCTTAGAAGGGGATGTTGGGAGGAGCCTGAGCGCCGAGGGCCTCCTGCTGTTCTTGAAGCTCCTCAGGAGCAGCCTCAATAGAAACACCCAGACCAATCTTGGCTTGATGCTGTAATTTTGTTGTCAGTGTTGCTTTTTCTTAGATAATCAGGGACTATGGGCACGTACCGTAAAGTGGTCAATATCAGCGGCAAATGTCATCATTACAGGGGGTGCAACACGCTTCTCAAGAGCGCAGCTCAGCTTGCCCTTGGAGTCGACCTGAGCGCGGAAAGTAGACATGCGGAAATCGTACTTGGCACCGATAGTGGTAACACCCTCCTTCTGGAGACCACCACCCATGAGACCACCAGGAGAAGGAACAAGGCCGAGGCTCAGGTCAACACCAGCCTGAACCTTGTCCGAGAGTCGTCGCCAGTATGAGGTGTTCAGGGTGCCCATAGCAGCCTGGAGCTGAGCGGTAGCGATCCAGTCGGTAGATTTGTAGCGGGCGGCGTAAGAAACGGCGCACTCGGGACCCTGGGACAGAGAAGGTCGCTGCCAAAGAGTCTCGAGACCCAGAGCGAGCTTACGAGTAACGGATTGAAGGTAGCTTCCGATGAAAATACCAGTAACACCACCCTCGAGATAGGAGGGGTTAAGCATCTTGAGGGATGCGCTGAAGTCGTTTCCGGTGTACTCGTGCTCGAACTGCGCCATATCTTGACCACCTGGGGAGATGGAAAGTTGAGACTTGGAAACTAGCTTGTCCGACCATCGCCAGTTGAATCGTCCGGACAGAGAACCCTCGTTATCAAGGTTACCTTGGCAGAAGACCTGCAACAAAGTTAGCAACTTTGAATATCAAATTGTGTTTAACTAGTAGCTACCTTTCCTGTTCCGTACATGGCAGCAAAAGTGTAAGGGTTGATACGCTCGCCCATAGCAAACTGGTGGGAGACTTGGAAGAGAGGAGCCATGCTGAAGATCTTTGTCAGGTCGGCTCGGATTCCGGTAAACATATAGTTGTTGAGGAAGACATCGCGCTGAACCTCCTTGGCAAGACTCTCGATAGTGCCTGGGTTGGAGAGGCCTAGCTTAGCCCTCCGCTCGTTGAAGGAGTTGAGGACATCTCCAAGGGCGCTAGCGAGGGGATTGGAAAGAAGAGCCGTCTTGACGGGATCCAATGCGGCGGCGGAGGCCATTGTGACTGAGGAGCGCCGAAGCGAAGATGGACGGAAGAGGAGCGAGCCGAGGTGTTAATCGACAATGGCGATGCACACGATCAGGCGTTCGTAGCGATTATACCAATGATATAATTAATGAAAAATAAGAAGTTGTGTAAAACAACCTCGAATGCGATTAATATCCTGAGGCCTCTAAACGCCAGGAACGTGATGACGAGCAGGATGGAGATGGAGAATAATTTTCATCTGGCTTGGACAGCTCTGTAGTGGAGAGGCACTAGCCACCGATGATGCCGAGTCGGCTGTGGCGGTGTCTGCATTCCATGCGCCGTGCCAGATCGATATGTGGCGTAGCAGAAAGTTAGCCTCCTAAGTCTTAGGGTATAAAAATAAGTAACCCAAAAACTATAGTCTAAAGAGCATAAGCTGACCTAGTAATTTCGTCTCTTATGCTTCCATTAGTCAATTTTTCCTGATATCCCGGAGGGGCGGATACTACGACTTCCCTGAAGCTGAACGAGCCTCAGAAGGTCCACCTGCCTGTAACTTGACTGGGTTTGGTAGGTATCTAGAGTAGGTGGTGTAAAGTATCCTGTACTTCCAGCTGATATTATTGCCCAGCGCTATGGGGTAGCTTGCACTACTTTACACCGCATCTTGAACATGACGTGCCAAATATCAAGTACAAGTACTTGCCTACATGCCGGTCGCACTTGCACCCGATTCTTCAATCACTTCCTTCCAGTCTTTTACAGAACCTTGAGCGCCAGCCATTTATAATTGACTTTCGTTTTCACTTTGATTTTGTCTTCTCATCGACTGTCGTCTGTGTCATTTTCATATCAAACGCCAAAGTCACATTTTCACTCGAGTCAAACTGATCTACTAGTGTAGTCAACTCAAACGCCCAATATCTGAACCATTTATCGTTGACCCCGCCGGCAACCACCGGCTTCTCCTTTGGCTTTTTATCTTGAGGCTCGTCTTACCCTTGTTAAAGTTGCATCAAGCTCGGCAGTAAGAGCTGCAGGAGGCTTCGTCAACACTTAACTATCGATATCTTTGTGTTCACGATCCTGATCTTGGTCTGAACTATTCGGCACTCCTTACGAGTCCAAACAATCTCCCAGAGCTGGAATATCTCAAGTGTTTCTCGTTGAACTCTATAGACTCGAACACGACCTTCTCACTTTAGAACTATCATATCGGAAGAATTTGTTCGGCTGCCAGCCAACATGGATACTCTTCTGTACGTATTTCCCTTTTCTGGCCCTTGAATCACTACTTTATCGTGTGGTGATCTCCTATCTCTGCGGCTTTTACCGACGTGTTGGTGTGACTTGGCATCATAAGCCGTTCGATATCGTGGCTTTAATGGTGATCGATAATACTCATCGCATCATACTAGAATAGCGGTCGTTCTATATATGGAGTTGTTATGTGACTGACATTACTAGAACCGCCGAGATCGCGGCCAACGCCCCTCGCTACCGCCGCAAGAGCTCAACTTTTATTGATGCCATTCACGATATTCCCCATGGGCAAGATTTGGCCCCAGCCCAGCTTTACAGTACCATGTCTGGCCGACTCTTTCACTCCGGGCGTATCGTCATTGTCATGGTAGGGCCGCCTGCGCGTGGTAAAACGTAAGTCTTTTCCTTTTAATACTGGCAGTCTAAACTTACAGCCATCCAGGCATATCTGTGTCTCCATGGCACGATATTTGAGCTGGCTCGGCGTCAAGTCTCGGATATTCCATTTGGGTGACTACCGTCGAGCAACTGTTGGCCCCGACGGGTCTATTCCTGACGACTATTTCTTCCCAAATGCGTCACCAGCCTCTGTCATTCTGCGCCAGAAGATTTTGAAGAAGTGCCGCGAGGACATTTACTCCTGGCTGAACCATGACAATGGGCAGGTGGCGATTTATGACGCAGTGAACCCTACTGCAAATGGAAGACGCTCCCTGGCCAAAGAGTTTGCAAAGCACGATGTTCAAGTTAGAAAGGCCACTCCTCCATTTGACCATCCGTGCTTACACACCTGACAGACTTTATTCATTGAATCATTTGTCGATGATGAGCGTATCCTGCGAGAGAATGCGAGAAACGTTAAGATCTCGTCCCCAGATGTAAGTACCACGCTTCGAAATGTGTATGAATGACAACTCACTCGCTGTAGTTCGCTGGAATGGAACCTGACGAGGCTGCCAAATTATACCTCCAAAGGATTGAGATGAAGATCCCTGTCTTTGAAACCATGAATGAGAAGGAGCTGAACTACATCAAAATGATTAACGCAGGAACCAAGTTCTTCTACAACAACGTCAGCTTCAACTACCTCGCTCATCGAATTGTCTTCTATCTCACAAACCTACACATCAAGTCACGAAAGACTTTCTTTGCCCGAGCCGGCACAACGGCAGAGGAGGATTCGTACAAAGCCGACGCTCCCCTATCACTCGAAGGCAGAGACTATGCCCAAAAGATGTCCGAGGCACTGTTGAAGCACCGTGAACAAGAACGGCTCACGACTATAGCGGAAGGAGGCGCGGATGCTCCCCTGCCACCACTTACCGTCTGGACATCAACTCGAATGCGTACGGTGCAAACATCTGATGTACTGAATGAGAAGGGTTACAAGGTCCGCCAGCGATCACAGCTCAGTCAAATCAACCCCGGCGTATGCGAGAAGATGTCTGAGCGTATGATCCGTCAAATCTACCCGGATGAGGTCGAGAAACACGAATTAGACCCTTACCATCATCGATACCCTCGTGCAGAGGTATGTCTAAACCCATGCGGTTGATGTTTCAAACCGTGTTCAAAATACTGACTAGAAGTAGTCGTACCATGATCTTGCCGTTCGCCTGGAGCCCATTATCCTTGAGCTGGAGCGAGAACAGACCGATCTTCTCATCATCGCCCACGAGTCTGTGCTTCGCGTGCTCTACGCCTACTTAATGCATTGCTCTACTACTGATATTCCAGTGATCAATTTTCCGCGCGACGAAATCATCGA